CTGCATCACACATCCACTTCAGGCCTCTGTGCTTGCTGTTCCTTCTGCATAGAACATTCTCCCCTGAAAGTCTCCTCTTGTCATTCTATTGACTCTCCCTTTCGCTCAAAACCTCCCTCTTTGGGAGGATTTTCCTGCCAACCATCTTGAAAAGAGCATTTTCAACCACTTTCTTGGCCATCACTTTAATCCTCTTCAGTTGGTTGAACTTCTCATTGCATTTACTATGACCCTAATGAGTCACTCACTCATTCATTAGTGCTCCCATTCATTGCCTATCTCTGTGCTCAGAACATAATCTCTATGAGGACAGGGATGCCGTCTGCCTGGTCCCCGTGGAATAATCTGTAGCACCTAAGAGAATGCCTGACTTAGCAGGTGCTCAATAAATATCTGTGAACATTGAATACATGCGGTGCTGGGAGAGTTAGTAACTTGTCTGGGGCCAGAAAACATACAGCATTTGTGAGCACACACACACACACACGGGTACACACATTTCATTCTCTACCTCTATGAGGCAGACAATCCTCACCCCTTCCTCTTCACTGTCCACCCATCCTTTCTCATGCCAAGAGCTGGCCTCTTTCAGTGTATGAACTAAGTTACACTGAAACCCCAGAGATGTTTCAAATAGAAGTGGGGAGACAAAGTCAGTTGATCTCTCTGGAATCTTCTTTAACTATGAATTCGTTACTTGTTTCACAAGTACCAAACTATGATGCCAAATATTTCCCCTGGCTGTCCAAATCTCCTTCCTGCACTTGGTGTCCTCCATTGTAGAACCAGGTGAACTGGAGGGAGAAAGGAGGTAGCGGAGACCAGCACCACCATTCATAAAGAACCTCAAAATAAGAAGGGATGGATGAGCTTTAGGAGAGAGAGCAGCCCCTGCTTCCTTGGCCTGCCCAGCAAGAGGTGAAGAGGAGCATTCCTCACACACCACAGCTTGCTAAGATGCTGACCAAATCAAAGCTAGCTGGTTCTTAACAAAACTCAGAGTCCTGCTGTCTCTGTTTAGGTCTTCACACAGATTGTCTCAGCCTCACTGAGAATCAGAAGGCTCTCAAAGCAGGGTGTTCTTCATCATGAGCAATGAGGTCCAGAGGCCCTCCACTTCTATTAACCCTACAAGAATGTACTGGGCAAGGTTGTCTTCCAGGTATGGGATACAGGTAATGATGGAGACAGACAAGGTCCCTGCCCTCCAATAGCTCAGATGCTAGTGCACAAAGATGGGAAATAGAAGAGAATAAATAGAAAGTCATAATAGGAAGGAACCAAAATGGCAGACCCAGAAGGGATGAACACTCTGGCTCTACCCACCTTTCTTTCTAACGTCTCCATGCTCCAGAGCTACCAAGGAGCTTCCCACCAAGCTCAATGGGTAAGGACAGCACTACCGGGGAAGGGGAGCAGCTGGGGACACAGGCAGATAAGGACTCAGATGGGCCCATCAGAGGAGGCAGCAATACTCAAGACTCCTGACTCAGTTCTTGGAGGGGGCTGATATTTTTCAGCTTTGAAAGACCTTCTGTATTTTAAATCCTAGGTTCAAAAATTCTGGCTTTCAAGTCAGGCAAGGAACCCTGAAATATTCCATGCCTTGTGAAGATCTTCCCGTCAGCTTCTAGGACCTTAGAGGTAGGCAGGAAGTGGAGAGAGGGACCCCATTAAGAAATCAAGGAGTATAGACAGAGGGAAGCCTCATGCCAGTCCCTGACTCCATCTTGGGACTCCCTGGTTCCAAGGAAAATTACTCCACTCTCAGCCTCATACTTGGCCATTCCCAGGCCAAAGAAGCCCTCGCATGGACACCACAATGAGTCCCAGTGTGGCTGAAGCCCCAGAATGGGGAGTCCCACACCATGAGATGATGTCATCGAGCCTGTGAGGCAGTAAGGCTGCTGTGGGCTGCCAAGGCACAAGCCCTGTGGGTGGCATAATGTGGCATTCATCTCTCCCACTGTGCAGACATGGGGTAGGAGAACAATACAGACTCTGTCAGCAAGGTCCTCCACAGAGTTCAGTCCACACTAATCAAACTGAATAAGAGGGGAACACAGTCCTTGTGGCTGCTGCCTCCACCACTCAGAGCTAATGCACATAGTCACAGGCTGGAAGGACAGCTCCAGGAATGAGCTTCCTACTCAGAGGTGGTGCAACAGAGGTCTTGTGGGGCGGCATTAGGGTGCTCCAATAAACACTCTTTAAGAGATATTTCTTTAATAGATGGAAAGTCCAAGGTGAAACCTGCTGCCTTGCCTGCTGCAGACACATGCCTCCTAGCCCACACTCAGGACCCCCGATGGGCTTACTTAGTTCTCAGCTGAGTTCCAGAACCAAGCCCAACCTGGCACTTCCTACTTGGTCTTAGCTGACACTGTATCTGTCCTTCTTGGGCTGACTTCACAGACTTTGCTGAAAGTTCCAAAAAGAGTTATGGGTACACAGGAAGGCTCTGGGCACCCTCTCCACTCTTCTCACCTCAGAGACTCTCTGTTCTGAATCATCTCTCTGACTCTTCTGTGGTGCTCCCTTAACTGGGCAATAAATCCTTGCCTACCACAGGCCCCTGGGATCCAGGAGCATGACCTTGGTAGGAGATTATACTGTGTGTAGGAAAATCTGGACCCCAAACTTGGGCATCTGTACCATGTTTCTTCAAAAGAGAGCAAACATTGGCCTTGAACTTAGATACACGATGATTCTGAAGTTAGTGGACTTATGCTAGACTCACTGAACTTTTGATATTTTCAATGTTCTGTTCCCTGTTCGGGCACACCCAGCCTCAGTGCCCAAGGAGCACAACTGAAAAGACATCCACGGAGCTGAGTAAGTCAAATCCCCTTCTCTAGGTTTCTAAGGAGCCATGGCCAACATTTGGCTGCAAGACAAACATCTGGCAGAGCCCAGAGAAACTTACCTGCCTCTCAGACATGATGTAGAGCTGCTCGTGGTCCTTGGAGAAGGCCATATCCCGGAGGACCGGGCCAGGGTCCACCACCTGCACAGTTTCATATTGGAGGGCATTGCCCCGGGGCCCATCCACTCGGATCTGCGGAGAAGAAGGAAAGGAGAGACAGTGTGAGTTCCAATCCTGTACTGCTCACAGCGGAACTTCAGGCCAAGGTCTGTCTGGACAGCCACGGACACAGAGTGAGCTCTGTCTGAGCAGTGCTCAGTAGCTGGAGTCACCCAGGCCTCAAGATGAGAATGGCAAAGAGACAGAGGGGAGAGGCCACCGCTGGGCTTAACTGGGAATCTAGGGTGTTCGCCTGGTTCCCTATGCCTCAGGTGTGAGCATTTGAGGCCCTGCAGGTGTTTGGAGAAGA